TTTTCTGAGTGTGTTTTGATAAATATTTTGTTTTTATTTTGGTTTTATATATGTTTTATATATGTTTTAATTTATTAATGTATGTAATATATTTTATTTAATATATATATATATATATGTACTGTATATTTTAGCATATTAAATATTTACAAATGCTATTTCATACATTATATTATATAATGCGTGACTTTTTAAGGATATAGTATTAATTTATTATATAAWTTCATAGGAAATGTGAAGAGATTTATGTTAAAWATAGTTATGTTATAATTATTATTAGTTTATTTTGAATTTATATATAATATTATATAATGAATATTCAATTAGATTACACAAAAATATATAWAAAGTTATAATATAAAGTACTGTATATATAAAAAACAAACTTTTAGYTTAGATTTTTTTTAATATAATGGATACTAAGTTTTAGAAGTTTAATAAACTCTCGACTTATTGGGCAATAAATAAATAATTTTATTGTAAAGATGYKACAAAACATTTTATTTTATTTTTTTTTTGGAAATTTTTTTAGTGAACAAAATAACAATATATATTTATATCTTTAAAAAATTAAAATACACTATATAGCTATGAGAAAGATAGACAAATAGACAGACAGTCAGTCAATGATAATGTGAAAAAAGTATAAGTAAAGTGAAAATATTAAGTTATGATAGTTTTTTATATGTGTGTCCAAAGTGACGGCTAAATCATTAATCACACCCAACTATCACATCAGCAAAAAAATGTGTGTATATATATATATATATAWTWTATATAACTTCTACAATATATACTRACTATTAGTACAGTATATATATATATCTATAGATATATTGTTGGCCATTAGTAGTACTGTTTGCCAATCAATCGTTACTTTTTATATTTTGTGTCCATTTTATATATATATATTTGTCACATAAAGTCTGTATGATAGAAAAAAACTGTGATTTTTAGGACAAAATGCCAAATCATGTAACGTATATAATATAAAATATATACTGTATATACAGTAAATCTCATTTAATTGTCTTATATTTTGTTATTTTGTTAGTTATATGTTTTGTTTTATCCTTTATATATAAATTATATTATGTCGTTTAACTGTATGGTATCATTGATATTAATATGTTTATATATATATATTTCTCTAACACCACTGATAATTTTAAATCAAAAATTTATATATTTTTGTAATTTAATAATCGATAATTATTTTGTTAAGTTATAGAATATTTTTATTTATTTATTGTTAAACACATTTATAAATTTAAATAAATTTTATTTTCATTTAAATATCAAATTATCATCTAGTATTTTATTTTTAATCAATATTATTATTATTATTAACGTTAGTTAATTGATTGCCATACTATTTAGCAGTCCCCACAATAATTAAACGTTAGACAAATATTTTTGTTGGCTGCTATCGATTATCATTATATCCAATAAAATTGTCGATTAGTCTCTTTCTTTCTCTCTCTCTCTCTCTCTCTCTCTCTCTCTCTCTCTCTCTCTCTCTCTCTCTCATAGTCTCTAGACTTTCACAATAATTTATTTTTATAAAAACCATTATAAATATGGTATTAGCGAATAAAGTGAATGAATGAATTTAGACGAGAGAAGAGAGAGAGAGAGAGAGAGAGAGAGAGAGAGAGAGAGAGAGAAAGAAAGATAAAAATTATGATTAATTGTTATATTGGCTATAAATTTATAGATAGATAGAAATATCATATATATACTGTATATGAGTGAACAACAAAAAAATTACTAAATGAAACACACTTGAGATAAATTGTTCACAAATATGTACTCAATATATATATACTGTATATAAGCATTATCTGTCAATTTGATGACAATTATTAATTATTATTGTCAGATATTTATATCATACACAACAACAAAAATTTATATATCATATTATATACTGTACTATAAATACACGATTAAAATTTGATATAACATAAACTTTGCTTTTTCAAAAAAATAATCATCAATTTATGGTTTATTACCTTTAAATTTAATATATCAGTTCATACTATATATTATGATATAGGACTATATATTGGTGGCCTATGATCTAGAGTTGATATATATGTTCAATAAATTAATTAATTTCTTAACAATATATTATATCCCAAAAAACTATAATAAAAATTATATTTAATACATACTGTTATATTTTAATTACATTTTATTATTATTATTATTACCTATCAGTGCTCGTCAACGAGCGATGACGCCATACAGCTATCGTCGACATGTGGGACATCCCTGCGGGCCAGCTCACAGTCCCCTCCCGTGTCGATGTCGCCGACCGAAGCCATAACCAGTGGTGGCGGTGGCAGTGATTTGACAACAACAACAACATTGATAGACAACTGTCTGGACAGTAGTTGTCCGGAGTCGTCGTCGACGTTGTGCGGTATCAAACACACGACTAACTGTCCATTTATGACAACACTGTCTATTGCGGGAACGGGAACACTAGTAGGTCACCAACAAAAAGGCATATTAAAGCACAATAAATGGTCGTCCAATATTAGGGGGGAGGGAAGCATACAATGTTCACAGGTTTGCTTATAATAATAATAATTCAATTTTAATTAAATGCCTAAATTTTATTTTATTTAAGATACTGTATATAGTTAAATCTATATATTGATTTTGCAAATAATATACTTGAAATAATCTTTTTTTTTAAATAATTATTAAGTTACTTATAATGTTTGCAAAATTAATTATTATTTTTGCTGCAAAAAAAAATTAATATTATATCAAAACATTATTTTTTAGGTTCAAAAGTGTTGCACTAACTCGTGTCAGTACACGACAAGAGTACCGGAGCTACGATACGACCCAATCGGTGTCGAGTCGTCCAGTGATCGAGGCTATGACGGCACGTAAAACTCGGGGGATTGTCGTTATCATCGATGATGTTATTGTTGTTTTAGATATATATATATATATATATAGACATTGTTGGGCACATAATTCAAGGGCAACACTGGACGGCTAAAATCAATTTTGTTTAAAACAATATTTTTAACTTTTTTGTTTAGATATACAGTAGTATTATATTAATTTCGATTTAATTTATTCAATAATTTCGATAAAAAATATGTCGATTGTTAAGACATAAAACTTTTAATATATATTTTGTAACTATACTGTAATGTCAATAATAATAATAATAATTTGATAAACAAATTTAAATTTTCTCATTAAAAAATTATTCACATAAATTGCTTATATATATTTATTTTTTATATTATTTATAAATGTGTGTTAACTATTTGGGCAAAATTTTCTATTATATAATATTTGTATTGTATTTCATTATCAAATTATCTATCAATTGATTTTTTTAGTTGTGTTGCGATTAAGTAGTTTGTTTGAAATGATAATTTTGGTTTAAAACTTAAAACTTAATTTTAAAAACTAATATACGATAATATTAATATGTTTAAAGTTATATACAGTGAAAAATTGGTTGACCCGGTTATAACCACCAATATATTGTACTTATTATTATAATTATATTTAATTTTGTAAATAAAATTACTTTAAAAAATAAACATTAAAACAAGTATTTAAAAATATTGAGAGATAGAGCCATGAATATTAAATAGACTTTATTGTAATTATTTTACTTACAGTTATTTAAACTATATTTAAATTATATAATTTGTATATAAATTTTTTGCCAATTAATGTTACAGTTTTTAAAATTAATTTCAATATATATATATTTAGTAATTAATTTTAAAAATTGTAACAAATTAATTGACAAACATTTTGTTATACATATTATATAATTTGTTAATAATTTAAGAAATTATTATAATTACACAAAAAAGTCATTGAAAATGTATGGGGGAGAGAGCGAGGAAAAAATTTAGTGTTTTTTTTATTAAACTTTCATAAAATAAATGGGAATTTTTTTCTAAATATATACACAATTTTTTTATTGTATAAATTAACACAAAATATTTGCTAATATATTGAAATTTTAAAAAAACAATTAATTTAAATGATAGTGTTGTCTGACGGCGATCCGTGTCATCAGATCGCGGCCGTGTTCTGGCCGACGACTTCGGTATTAATTGTCCACAAAAATGATAATAATAATAATAAACATATAAATTTATTAATATATTAATATATCAAATCTAACTTTTATATTATTTGTTAAATTATTTATTTATATCTTTATTGCTTAATATTTCAATAATATATCAAAAAAAGTGGTAATGATTTCCAGTAGTAAATAAGCTACAATAGTTTTAAATTAAATTATTATTATTAATTAATTAATTTAAATTATAATTATAAATTATGACCGCTGTGTGTATGTGTGTCAATTGGTAGACATAAATTATACCACAGTTTGTCTATTATATATATATTTTTTTATAAAAAAAATACAATTAAAAAAGATTTTACACATATGTAGTGATAATAATAATAATAAAAAAATAATTGTTGTGATTAAATAAGACAATTATTAATTATTTTTAGGTACTGAATGTGTAAGTCATATAATATTAAAAATATATAGAAAATCAATTTCATTTTCACAAAAAAATATAAAATAATTACAATAATTTCTAATTAAAAATGATAATAATTATAATATTAATTTATAAATAAATAATAATAATAAGAATCAGTTATTTCTATTTTCTTAGTGTTTTTTAAATACCGTAATATTATTTAATTTCATTGTACCGGTACATGAAATTTGATAGTAATATGTAATTCAATTAATATGATGTAATTAAATGATAAATTAAATGAATCATAAAAAATGATTAAATTAATAATTGTCAATAATATTGACAATAATTTAATAATAGCTGACAATCAAAAACAAATAAAAAACAAATAGTAGGAAATAAACTGTATCTTAATTTATGATATAATTTATGATTAACACAAAATAATTCATTTAATTGTATAATCGACAAGTATTGGTAAAAATATGTATATATATATATAATATATAATAATTGTTTTATGAGAGATCCGATTAGATAGTGATGATTAGTAGAGTAATAGTAGTAGTGGTGGTAGTAGTAGAAGTACCGTACGGTTAATGAGTTGGTTAGTGTAATGATGAAACAACACATACACACACCTGTCCTCCGATGATGTCAACCAATCAATCATAAATTGGTTCATTTGGATGGCATGTCTTCATATGTTTGTTTAATGATATCCTCCACGTATAGGTTTTGTCGCAGAAATCGCACTTATAGGAGGTCTTCGAGTTCAGATGTATACCGTTGATGTGGTCCTGCATTGATTGATTTGCGTGATATACTTGCGGACAGTACGGACACTTATATAGATTACTGTTGGGATCAACCAGCGGTACGGCGGCGACATCATCAGGTGAGCGCGCGGTCGTTGTCATCGTATTCAATGTACGGTTACGGGCGTCGCGATTGTCCATCACTTTTGTTTTACCGGTAGAAATAACAGACAAATAGACATATATTTAGTACTTTATGTTTAATAAAAACTAGTTATTATTTTAAACACATACTCTCCTCCTTAGCCCAGTTGGGCGTACGTCCCGGTCCTTTGCGACGTACAGTTGTTATCACATCTCCGCCTTCAGAGTTACTTTCGCCGCCAACACTCGATGTCGACCGTCTCAGCGAACGAGTGCTGTGAGGCGACGTCGAGGACATCTTGTGATAAGCCAATGTAGAGGCAACGATAGCAGACTGTGCGCTAGTGCTGGTATTGTTGGTGGTGGTGGTGGCGGCGGCGTTGGCGTCCATATCGCCGCTATTACGCTGCAAACCAGTAGTTTGCTCTTCAAATTGCTGACTAAAGTCCACTTCATATATCTCTCCGTCGTCTTCTTCGTCGTCGTTATTCGCTTGAATAGACACCACATCGTCGACATCCATCTGTACTGATGTATCGGCAATCGGCCGACTCTTAATAACGCTGTCGTGTTGTCCATCATTATCAGCATCCAAACGGATCCGTTTTCTCAGTTGCCGGCCCTCGTTTTCCGGTGACATCGACATCGTTTCCCCACCACTTGGGCTAAGACCAGTTGATGTGATTACTCGTTGATGTTGTTCCATAGATGAGACACTTTGTTGACTCGATTGTCTTGAACTACCATTTATAACTCTGGACGATGGCGACGACTCTTCGATAACTGTATTACCACTACTGTTGCTGAATGTGATAATGTGGTTGTTTGTTGTTGTGCTACTGGAACTGTTGGGAGCGGCGGCAGAACTATTGAGACACTAGTATAATGAAAATTCAAGACAAAAAAATATATCACAATCAATTGATCCCATTTATTGATGGTAATCAACAAATATTTTGAATACCTTAATCTTATTTTTATCGAAGTGTTCCTTTTCAATGGTAAACTTCATCCTTTCGGCCTCAAACCTTTGCTTCTCTTCGTTCAGAACAGTCTTCTCGATTTCCAACTTCTTTTTCATCTCCGACTCAATTTCACGTCTAATTTGTTCCGCTTTCAACCGTTCCGACTGACGGATGGCTCGGATTTCGTTCTCGAGAAACCGTTTTTCATTCTTCAACTGTTCGATAACATCCGAGTGGCCATCGATCGGCTGATGATCATCATTGGACACCAGCTTAATGTTCATCAAACCTTTGATCATCAACTGTTGAGCCGATGCCAGAAATCGATGAATACGTGACTGACTGACCGATACCTATCGTATATATGTCCACCAAAACAACGTTAGCTTAAACTTACCGATAGTTTAAAAAAATAAGTGTTAATATTGATGACTATACCTGTCCTTTATAGACGAAGTCGACAATTGATAGCATATCTTCGTAGTCGACATCGCTGAGGACAACGGCCACTACGCCTAACGTATTGTTCGGTACTTTAGCAAAAATTGCCCGAAAATAGTCGGACGAAGCCGATAGTATGACACGATGTGTGGCCACTCCTTCGTTTATACTTTCATCAAAGCCGCCGACAGCAGCGGCGGTACCGTTACTAGACTTTGTGTGGCCGTTAGTAAGTCGACCGCCGTTGCCATTGCTGTTATGATAAGTACTATCATTGTCAGTATCGACGGTCTCATCATTGGCCGATCCTTTCGGATGGCAAACAAGTAGACAATCGGTAAGTTGAGTGGTGTCCAACATCGATGCAAAACTGTCGCGCATTGTAATCTCGTGGTCACCCATACGAAATGTGTAGCCATTTTCAACGTCCGACGACGACGGCGGCGATGACGCCGACGCCGCTGCCGTCGGTGCTCTCATAGCCGATGACGAGCTCATCCTCATTGGTGGCGGCGGCGGACAGCAGTGCGTATTAGGTTCGGGTCAATCACTTTCACCCACCGAAGCGGCGGCAATAGACTATTTAGTGGCCATTGAATTAAATATATATATATTAATCATATATGATATCAATATAAAACATGTGATGATAACAATAGTTGTAATATAAATACTATTATTATTTATACACTAATAATAATAATAATAAGTAATATATCATAAATTTTTTTTTTATAGATATATCTAAATACTTAATAATAATATGGATATAAATATTGTGCTAAAATAATAATTAATAAATACCTGTACTTTCAATATGATAGTAGTATTTAATAATAGCAGTGTGTGTTTGGCAACACTACTACTAATTTATTATTATTATTATTATTACTAATAATTTATTATTAGTATTATTGATATTATTATTATGTGTTACTGTTGTCAATAAATTTAGATTTAATATATTTTTTGTATTTATTACAAAACTTATTGATTATTAACTTATTTATAGTATTTTTTTTAATTATTATTATTATTTGTTATATAATATAATAAAATTTAATTAATTTTTTTTAAAAAAAACACATAAAAAAATCAATGAATGAATCGGTTGTTTAGTTATATTGTTGTCGTCAAACAATTTAAACAAACAAACAAAACATTTATAACAAATAATTAAATATTATTATTAATATTTTTTATTTGTTTACTACTAATACTTTTACTAATAATATCACTTTAAAAAAATTATTAAATAATATATTTTTATCTCAAACAACCATTTTTTTGTACAAATATTTTTTATAAAAAAAAATTTATTTATGGTTAGGTTTTTTCATATATACACACATCAAAAAAATTTAAAGGCAATTATATTATATTTATATTTTTTWAAAAAAACACAATTAATTAATTAATTAAAATCCCATTTAATTAAATTGTTTGTCGCATTTGGATCGCATAGTGTTTGCATTGTTTGCGTTAATAAACACTTAATAATAATAATAATAATAATAATATTTAATTAAATTAATGGTTATATACACTRTGTGTATACCAAACCATAGGATAACCAATAAAATAGTGTATAAAATAATATATAAAATAATATATAAAATAATATAATAATATATTTGTATTGAAAAATGTTTGGTGCGGTTATTGAGCCGACATTCAATGTAATGTAATGTACAGGTCATTCACATAAACTGTATAATTAAATTCACAGACAACGTATGTCTAACTAATTAATTTATTTTTATAAATTTTTATTTATTTATTTATTTTGTCAATATCATCATGGTTACATTTTTTTTATTATGATTAATTTATGTTAAATTTATTATTTAGTTATTAATATTATTATATTATTGGTTACYAGATAATTATTATTATTATTATTATTATTATGTTAATTTGMTAAATTATTTTAATTTTTAGCATTTTTAAAAAAATTTATTATTATTTATTACACAATCATCATCATTATTATTATTAATGTTATAATGATTAAGTATAAAATTATTTTGTAACTTATTTCTAACTAATATTTCWWTTTTTATTAATTATACTGTATATATTTGTAATTTAATATATTATTTTAGACGATTTTTTATATAAATTAATTTTAATTAAAATAGCATTTGTAAATTTATTAAAAAAGTTTATTAAAAATATATATATTAAATTTATGTAATTATWTTTARCAATCATATTTTMCAAACAAATATAATTTATAATATAATAATAATTTCAAATAAATTATTTAATTTATATATATAATAGATATATAAATTTAAATCTATTATCATTATTAAATTTTTTTATTAAAATTAATTTAAAAATAAAAATTACCTATGTAAAGGTACAAAAAATTAATAATATTATTAAACATGCTAACTGTATTTATTTTACTATAATTAGTAATTTTAGTTATTTGACTGATTGTAAGTGTATTATGTATTAAAATCACATAGGTGGTTTTTAAATTTTTACACATCAATGTACATGTATAACTATAAATACATTAATATTAATTTTATCTATCAATAGAGGTCGACACAAATTGTATCTATAAATATATAAATTTACTAATTTATAATCAATTGAAAATTTTACAGTTCAATAATTTTTATCATTAAATAAAATTTAATCAATAATATAAACAAAAATTTTCAACTATTCAAATTTTTATCAAACTTGCAAATAATTTTTTTTTAAATTCAATATTGAAAATTTTGTAAAGTCAACATTAGTTATTTTTAAATTTAATTTGCTTATTTACTATTTGGACAATTGAGTTGCATAATCAATAGTTTTGAAATTATATATATATATATATAGCATATTTCTATATTATTTTTTTAATTATAACAATTTTTATATTCTAGACATATTTTATTTAATTTTAAATTTTATTTCATTTACTTTTCATAATTATTATAATATAGTAATTATGTGTATTATTTAATAAAGTTTTATTTTTATTTTTTAAATGTGATTATCCATTTATTAGTCGATAAAAAATTAATGTAAATTTTAAATTTAAAAAATATTATTTATATTTTTAATTTATTGTAATTTCATATGTTATTTGTAATTACAATTTATAATTATTATTGATATAAATTATAATAATTTACTTACTTTTAAATTTAAGTTTTTAAAAATATTTATTTAACACTTTTATAATTTATTGTTATATTAATTATTAATTTAAGCGAAATCTACAGTATTATAACATTTGTAAAAAAAACTTTTTAACAAAAATTGAACAAAAAACTCATATATAAATTGATTTATGATTTATAATATAATTTATAGTATTTGTTGTTAAAATTATTTAATGCTTTTAAAATTTTAATACAGTGTATATACGGTTAATATATAATATATATATATAATTTGTATGTATGTTTAATGTAAATTTATATAACTATACTAATATATATATATATATATAGTTATTTATTTATAAATTAAAAATTTATTGTTACTTAAAAATACTTAAAATAGTACACTTAAATATTACTAATAATGATGATTATTGTTTTAATTATATTATACATTTGATGATTCAKCATGAAATATTTTTTTATTTAAATTGTTTTAAATAAAAGTTTTTTCCAATAAAATTTAATTTATTGTATAAATTAATAAATTTATTACAATTTAATTGGGATTTTTTTCTTCTTTTATTTTCTAATAACTATAAAATTCTTTACATATAATTATAAAAATGTTTGTATTGTATAATTAATTTTTTTATTATAAAGAGAGAGAGAGAGAGAGAGTTCACGACCCGGAAACTTGTTATTGAATGTCTAGTAATTGTTTGCAATAATAATTATTGCTAAACACATATACAATACACTCACTCACTCAATGAATTAATTATCAATTCAATAAAAATCTTGTAAGATATTATATATATATATATATATATATATATATATATATATATATAAACTCATACACTTTAAATACATGTATTTTATTTTATTTTTTAACAATAAAAAAGCAGACACACATTAGAGTCTCGTTATATGAGACAATTTGGCACACATTTAGTTATATATTTACATTAGAAAATTGCAACTAAAAATTTTTAAATATTTGTTTAAACCATTGTAGTTTTTTTTATAAAAAAATAAATTTTTTAATTAAGCAATATTTAAATTTTATGCAAATAAAAAATGTCTTCTAATTAACAATATAGTACTGTATTTATTTTTAATAATAATAATAAATTTTTATTTAGTTTAACAGGGTTAATTGTACATAACTAGCAAAAAAAATATCGCATTATTATTATTATTACTATAAGCTATTTAACATATTGGTGTTCATCAAATTCAAGGGCAACTCCACCTGCGCTACAACAACACACACACACACACACACGGCTTGTCTATGATATTGTAGGAATGGGCAGGTATGCTATGGGCGCACAGCTATGCACAGGTATGGGGATATTACAGTACACAGGTACACAGGCACAGGTAGTAGTAATAGTAGTAGTGGTTCTGGTGATTCAAAATTGTTAATAAAAAAAAGCGAGAGGATAGTTGGTTATGAGTTAAAAGAAAGAGGGGACCGAAAATCGGAAGTAAAGGGAACGGCAGATCTCTGGCACTCAAACACTGATTGGAAAGTTTTGGTGGAAAGAAATAATAATAATAATAATAAAAAAATAAAAATAATAAAAACTTATTATATTATAATACACTGTACGCTATACACTGTATTATAATATATTACAATATAAGCAATGAAATGAAAAACTTGATTTTTATGTCACTATATATATATATATTATATATACTGTATATATAAATGCTTTTTCTTTGGCATCATATATATATACACTGTTAGATAAATATATATAAACTATATATAAGTTTGTGTTTGGATTTAATATACTTTTATAATTATAAATATATATTTATATATTAAACAGTTAAACAAGTGGTGGTGTATTGCATGATTGCACGTTTAACATTAAAAATTATTGTTATTAGTATTACTATTATTATTATTATTATAAATAATTACATTTTTGTAAATTAGTTGTTAACAAGTTTTCTAGTTTACAAATAAAATTTTGAAAATTTTTCATTTCTCAAATGTTCAATAAAAATTTATTTAATAATTTAATTTATAATAAATATTTAAGTTAATTAATGAACCAAATTAATTAGCTGATTGGAGATTATTTTTTTGGATACATTTTTTTACAACAAATTGTTACATTTTTGTTAAATCATCGTTTAATTAGTAAGTAATTTAATTTTTAACTATTAAAATTTTATTTATTCAATTTAAAATATTTGAATTAAATTAATAATGATTATAACGTTAGTTTAAAAAAATTTTTATTTAATTGATAGCAATAATAAACTAAAATATTTTTTTTTAAATTATAAAAATGTTTACAAAAAATATTTGAAAGATAAATGTTAAATTAATGAACATGTTTATTTGGTATTTTACTGTATAAAAAATAAACATCAAATTAAAAACAACAACAAAAAACAATTTAAAATATTGTTAATAATTTCTTATCACGTTTTTAATCTCGCATTTTATATATAGCGATTAAATTTTTTAAATATTAAAATATAATTTATCAACATAAAAAAATCATGTTATCAAAAATATTTTTATGTTTTATTTTATAATATTATAGATATGGTTGATAATTTATATACGTGGAATATATATAGTTTTAATAATTGTATATATATCAATTTGTTTTTAATTAATTTTTTAATAGACATATAGAGTTATATATTTTTWATTTTTTTAATTAATAATATAAATTAGAAATTTTATTGAAAATTTTATAGCAATATAATATCTGTAATAGTTTATTATTGGTTGCGACACATTAATTATAATTAATATTGAAAATTAAAATATGATTTATTTATACTAATTTAAATTAATAATAAATATTTATATAAATATATTTAAACATTTTTTAAAATTAAAAAAAGTAAATAAAATAGTCATTAGGGGTTTAATCTTATTATTATATATATATATATATATATTTCTATGTGTAATATTAATTTTAAACGTATAATTAATAAATATAAATTGTAATTGATTTAGAATAATCTTTTATTTTTATTAAAATCAATCAAAATAAGCAAAACTAATAACAATAATTACTATTATTTAAAATATCTGTATAAAAACAATTGAATACAAATAAATTCAATTTTCAATTTATTTAAATATGCCATTCCCTTTTAATTTAATGGTTTAGTATTWTGATAGAAATAAAATTAAACAAATATTTTTATTTAATAAAGTAATTTTATTTTCTTATTTTCTATGATTAATATATATATATATATTTTTATTATCATAGACTAACTATTATAATGTATAGTTAATGTTTATTATACAGTATATAATATATAAGTGAATATACAATTTAACAATATATTATATATACAACAACAAAATAATGTTAAATTACTTTCTAAAAATTTAATCTTCATATTATTATTATTTGCAATTAAGCTAATAATAAAAATACATAAATATTTTGTTTATAGATGAAGGATAGGGTTTGATATAAAATATTAATTTTTTAAATTTTCAATTATTTTTATAATAAAATATTTTTTAGCTTAAAATATTAATTGTTTAATAATTGTGAGATTCCTTGAAGTTTTGCAATTCAAAACATGTACTGTATTTTAGTACTTTATTTTCAATAATGTTTACAAAAAATATTTTTACCTGTTGTGGTAAAATATTGTATAGATATTATGTATATACTATATATAAATATATACAAAGTGTATATACAGTATATAATGTAAAAATTCAATGCATTTTTTATTAGACAAGTAGTCTTCAACTATAACTATTAGGTGTTTTTAATTCATTGCATTTTATACAAATATATATATACAATAATTGACTTTTCAATAGCCTAAATGTGTATTCAAAAAATAAATAAATAAAATTATTACATACTTAGCATAAATATACTGGATTTATATACTGTATACATATTTATATAAAATATTTAATATATTATTATTAAGCTTTAAAATACAAAAATTTCATTAATGCTTATTATATTACACAATAGTATAAAAAATAATCTGTAAAACATATATTGGTTTTCAGCACAACAGGGGTATTGAAGAAAAGTAAATGTTATTTTTCAATGATGTTTAATAATTTTGATGACACCTATTGTGATAATAAATTAGGACATATCAGTCATTTTCATTACTAAAGCAAATAATTTACTAATTTATAAATATTGTATTTTTTACAAAATTTTAATCTTAGAAAAATAATATGCATAAWTTATAAAGTTTTATTTACATATTTTATTTTTGTAAATATTTGTATATAATTATACAAACTATTAATTTTTTTTAATAATAATAGTATTTATTTTTATATACAATTATTGTATATATTTGTAATAATTATTTACAACAAAATTAATTTTTGTTAAAATTAAATTTTATTTTTTTGAAGCGATTTATTATTTCCTCAATGATTATAGGTTTTTGAAGTCTAGTGTTTCCGAAAATATAAATTTATTATTTACAGAGAGATTATAATTTAATTATAAAATCATTTAAATAAAAAAAACATAGGTATATTAAATTAAATAACATTCAATAACATATTAATTACAATACAATAGGTATAATTTAGGAGTATATATAATACAAAAATGTTTTATTAAAAAATTTTGTTTTTTTTCAAAAATCAATTTGTTAATATAAACTTGAAAAGATTTAACTATTTATTAATATTACTTTAAATTATTTTATTAAATTAGGAAAAATACTAACAATACAAACAAAAATCTATTTATTAAATATTGTATATAATATAATATAAAATTGTTGTTGTCTTATATATTTAGGGAACTCCTGTTTGATTATTGATAATAAAAATACTGTATTATATACAACCATAATATTTATTATAATAATATTAAAATTATTATAGGTTTTTAATGAGATGCTGGGATATATATTACTAAATGGCATTGAATCTATATAGCTTATATTGCTCAATATTATTTTAATAATAATGTTAATAATCAAAATAATAATAATAATAATGAATTAATCATAATAAATATATAAAATTATAATTGATTGTTTTATAAAATTTTTTTAATGTCTTTATACATGTTTATAAAACATCTAATTTAATAAATTGCACCCATTATTATTATTATTATTATTATTATTATTATGTTTATTAAATTATATTAGTGATTGAAGGTTTAAATAATTGAATTATACTATTATAKTAAATACCAAAAAAAATATTTAATAGGCATATATATATATATAGTCTATCAATTATAATATTATACATTTTATTAATTTTTTATTAATATATTTTATATATATGAATAATAGTAAGATTAAATAGTTGATACAAATWTAATTGTTTTTAAATCGTAATCTATCTAAATAAAATTTTTSTATTTTATCAATTAAAAACAAATTTTTCAAACAATTGATTTATCAATTATACATTTATATACCGTATAAATAAAAMTTTTTTTTTAATATCAATACATAAAATTAATCAATTTTATTATTTTTGATTTTTCTATTATAAATTCAATAATAATATTGAGTTTGATTAGTAATAGAGAGTGTAATAAGGCTATCAATCACTTTCACTTATCAGGCAATTTAAAAAAATATCTAAAATTTATATTATTGAATATAATTGAATAAAATGTTTCAAAAAAACAAATAAATAAAATAGTTTTGTTTGTTTGTTTGTTGTTTAAAATAGCAAATTAAATCATAAAAAATTTGTTTGTTTTTTGATTTTGTGTGTATATTTTTAAAAACAGTTTCCTTGATTATTATCATTTATCTATTTAAAGGCTCCAGCAATAGAGAGAAAAAAAAATTCATGCAATCAAAAAAATAGTTTCAAACAATAAAAAACAATAAATTAAAAAAAAGTTAAATTAAATTGCAATATACGACATCTCCAWCAATTAAAATTAACAAAAAAAAGTCTAAATGTTTGGYCCCACWATCAACTATAATGATAGAGRAACTGGAGGTCGATTGTCTCATCATAGTATGGATGCCTCCTATCGTGGACTAGAAGATAGTGATGGCAATCATCGATTTATGACTGCAACAAACATAACTGTTTCAACAACAAACTGTGCCCAAAATCATATCGGTTATCATATTAACAACAACAACAYCAACAACAACAATGATGACGATGTGATATCATCTCAACAACAATTATCGCAAAACAATTTGATGACATCTCTGCTATCAAATCTGGACATTGACTGCGACTACAACTATACTGACGGCGGTGGCGGTTATGGTGGTGGTGGCTATTATGACTACTGTTACGAATCGCCGACATGTTGTCTGGAGGCCGGATCGGAGGCCGATTCGTCAGCACCGCCTACACCCGATATTATCTCTAGTTTCGCCGGCGGAGGATACCCGGCGACCCTGGAATCGCCACCGCCGCYGCCACTGTCAAAACAATTGTCTACTAATCAGTCATCGCTGCCCACCTATCACGAGCTGTGCCCGTCATCATCGGCAGCGGCGTCGTCGCCGCCTATAGTCAGCTACCATCAGCCGTTACAGTCGCCCACAGCTTCTTCGTCGTGTTCATCGATGTCGGCGCCGATAACATCGCCGGCAGCGACACCCGTCAGCACATACCACGAAACACGCAAACAACTCATCAAAGACAGCCTACGACTGACCATTCAGTCGCGACGATCGGCTCAGGGACTCGACGATCTATTCATTAACACCGACGACACCATGACTTCAACCAATACTACAGAGGACGACAGCAACAGTGAACTAACATCGCCGGACACACCGTCCTCTGGTGTGCTGTCGACTCTGTGTTACGCCGACACCGAACGGAGGCGCCGACGCCGCGAACGTAACAAAGTGGCCGCCACTAAGTGCCGCAACAAAAAGAAAATACATTCAATCAAATTGCACCAGGTAATTTAATTATATAAATTTTATATATATATATATATATATATATATATATATATATATATTTATGTTATATATATATATATATACTTATATATATATATATAGGTTAATATATATATATATGGTATCCTGAAATGTATTATATATATATATATATATAATTAATTAACTTACTAGTTGACAACAGTTAATTGTTGTCGATATACAGTTAATGTTTACAAAACAATTATTTAATTTGGCAAACAAACTGTTATTAATTTATATTAAACTTTATAATCAATAATTGCAAGATTTATATTTATATATTCAATAATTTTATCAATTGCCACTTATAAATCCTAATATACAGTTGATAAGTATAATCAATGAATCTTTATTTAAGATACCATTTCAACTAAAATAACAAATTATTTTTTGGCAAAAATCTTTAGATTCAAAAGTATGGTTGGCATTAGTTTACATTTTTAAAATAATTATTTTTATAAACAAAGAAATAATATATAATATAAAACTCTTAGTATCAATTATTTATAATATCATTTATTTTTGTTAATAATAACATAATAAATTATTAGTTAATAGATGAATATATTGGTGACAACACCAATAAGAGAGAGAGAGAGAGAGAGAGAGAGCAAACAAAACTATAGTAAAAAGAAATTTAAACTAATTTTGATCTCTTTTTATTGTATTTTTATTATTACTGTATTATATCTTTTTATTATTTTTTGTTAAATAACTATACCATTCATATGGGTATATWAAAATACATTCAATTGGAGAGAGAGAGAGAGAGAGGTTTATTGTACCCTAAATTTAGTGTCAAATAGTTTTAGTTAATCTAAAATTAAATAAATAGTTTTTTGTTTGTTTGTCGTGTTGTCTCCTACTAAAAATATTAATATTTRCTCATTGATATTCAACACATATTAAAATTTAGATATTTTTATAATTTTAGTTTTCTTAAAAAAAACTAACAAACAAAAAATGAAAGTGATTTTATCTCAAAACATAATGTTTTTTGTGTAACTAATAATGTATTTTTTGTTTTGTTTGTTTTAGCATAGTTGAAAACAAGATATTAATAATATATTAGTTTTTTTTAATAAAAAATTAATTAATTAATCTGGGATAAGTAACTGTTAGTAATAATAATAATAATAATATATTGTATATATATATATATATACTATATATCRTGTCAGTACAGAAAAATAACTAAATAATTCAATTAGTTAAATGAAAATATTAAGGTGGGGTCTAATTAATCAATATATATATATATATATATATATATATATTATATATATATTTGTTATCAATTAATAGTTTGTTTTTTGGTGTATAATAATAATTAGTTATTAAGAAATTAATTGATTTTTCTTTGCTTTACTATAATAGCAGATTGTTAATCAATATTGAGTACATTAAACAAAATATTTTTAAATATTAATAAATATATTGAAATGTGTATTTATGTTGAAATATACAGTATATATAATTATGTATATATAATATGTTATAAAGTATGTATATAATATATTATACTATATAAATTTATAGTATATTTAATATATTAATTAGAGTATTATTAATAGCAATTGATTTAATTTTATAAGATATTTGAATATTTGTTGTCTATTATTTTAAAAATTTATCTAACATTTTACAAATTATTTTATGTCAAATTGTATTCATTAGTATTGAAAACTAATTTTATTTAATATTAGAAATTTTRTTTTTTAAAAACAAACAATTATATCAATTTTTTAAAATAAAATATGATTAGATAGTATTAAATAAAATATTTTGTAGTTTAACTTTTAATAAAAATTGATTAACAATTTTGATTTKAATTGCTAAACTTATTATTTTTWTATAATAAACATTATATAGATATAATTTAGTTATATCTAAAAAACTTTAATAATTYTCTAATATTATTTTCATATATTGTGTTAAAATTTATAGGGTGTATAATATTACTACTGTAATACATGTATGATGACCATGTATAATAAAAGTTATACCCTTGAATATATTATATATATACATACATATTAATTTGAAATTAATTGAAAACTCATATATGAGTTTGTAAATTATTTTCAAACAAAAATAAATAATAATTTTTATTGTTAATAATTAATTAATTAAATATATATATATACATATTAATTACTTATCTATCTATCTATAGGAGTCTGAATCGTTGACCGTAAACAACGCTCATATGCGCCAAGAGATCGACCAATTGAGGCGTGAATGTCAACAATTGATGGCATTATTATCGGCACACGAATCCCATTGCAAACATAGATTAAAATTTGTTAATAATAATAACAATTATAATAATAATAATAATAATAATTTCTACAATAATTTTGTCAATACTAATAATAATACTAATATTAGTAATAGTAATTGTGATAATCAATTTATTAGTAATAATAATAATAATAATAGTTATTATTATAATAACAATAGTTTAAATATACAAACATTGTAATTGACTTGTCGTTTATATATTAATATTTAAAAAACATTAACATTTTTTTATTTTTTTAAATATCAATATCAATCACATAATTTTGTAACTTTTTATTTAAAAAAAAACATTTTATAATTATTTATATATTTTTTAATGATGATAATAATGCTGATGATTATATTTTTGTTTTGTTTTGTTATATTTTTTCAATTTATAATTTAAATGTCTATACAAAATAATTTTTGTTGTTATAATTTGAAATRTATTTTTAATTTTAAGTTTGATTTTTTTAAAAAATTTATATAATTAGTTGTCTATTTTAAATTATTRTTAGTTTAAAATTGTTATWAATCATTATTATAAGTTTTATTTACTTTTATAATAATAYTAAAATTTTATATATAATTAGACATTTTAATTTTTGTTAAAATTTTATCTAAACAAATTTATGTATTAATATTTTTGTAATTAAAGTGAAATTATACGATTATTATTGAAACATTAAATAAATTATATATACAAATTTAATTATATATATAWTAATTTTTTTAAACTACCGTAATATAAATTCCTAAAGCATTTACTCTAAAAYAATATATATATATGTCTAAAAGTCAATTCAATAACATATAAATTGAAATATTATGGTATTTTYTACATTACWKGTAAGAAAATTAAAAAAATTGATTATTACTTATTTATTTAAATTAATATTATAATTATATTTTAACCATATTGTTTGTATAATCTTTTTATTATTATAATTATTATTTTCATAAACTTTCAAACATTATAATATGTATAAATGAAAAAAATATTATAATCATTTGGCACATTGGGTAACAAAAATTCTTTATTATTATTATTATTAACATTAAAAATAATACCTGTATATATCATAAGTATTTGCACTAAAAAACAATGTTATTTAAAAAATCACTGGTAATAGTTATAAAACACGAACACATAAAATAATGTTTTTAATTATATAATTAAAAAATCCTATAAATGACTAAAAATAACATTTTTTAAAAATATTATAACAATAATACTGTATAAATAGCTGTAACGTAATAACAATTTCACAACAAATATATATTATACTATTTAAGTAATAGTAAGTCTTAACCATTAAAAATATTGTTTCAAACATTACAACTACCGGTACTTTAAATACTGGTAGTATCGGGCAGTAGTAGTAGTAGTAGTAGTAGTAGTAGTAGTAGTACTGTACTAAACCAATAGTACCAATAATACTGTTTAAGGTAATACTTGACTAAAATAATTATGTTTTTTAAATAAGTTTTTTTAGCTCTTAATTTTAAGTTAACAATGACTATAATTACCGGTAATTAAATGTTTTAATTTTAATTATCGGTTAATTCATAAGTGATGTTCTATTGAAACATCCATCGAGAATAGCAACGGCCGATCAGTCTCTACCCGTACTGTCCTATCGTTTTCGTCAAACTCGTTGGACGTACTGATTAGCGAACCGAAAGACATGGTATCATTAGTTAGATTCCAGCGAAATCCTTGTGTAGTGACTGTGGTGGGGGCGCCCACCGGTACCAGTGAACACCATTTTGACTTTTTGCACGAATCAATCACATGAGTACCCTATTAATCATTGATAAGATAATAGTTCAGATTTACCGGTAGATGTATTGCCAAAATTKATCCAAACCTTATGCAATAACCATGTGATAGAGTGATGGCATTGAACCAGATATATGGGTATATAATGACGGCCCGAGTCAGCACTTTGATAGCCATTGTCCGCTTCATTACTGTATAATGTATTTATATTAGACATCACTTGATCGATACGTCCAAGCGATGACCAAACGGCTACAATTGCTGTACAATGTGCTGCTGGCCGTAGACGTTGTTGTTGGCCATCTCTGATATCCTCATTGTTACTATTATTATCAGTGAGTATCGCTGCCGCCGCCGACTTGTTTGACTCAATTACCAAATTAACAGCTTTTGTAAAATCGGTATAGTTTTGATCGGGTGTTTCAATCACTTGGACACCTTTCGTACGAAAATAGTCCAACCGATCGGTTGAAATCGAATCGAAATCACCGCTAACAATGTCCGGCAATCGGTGGCGACTGTTAATTGTCGACAAGTATTTCGAGCCGCCATCGACTGCCACCCGAAGCGCAGCTGAAGTTGATATATAAACAGAGAAATAGATTTAATCTTCAATTGTGATCTTCATCTATATATATATATATGATATACAAACCATTGTTCCATATCTTGTCAAACAATGGACTCTTGTGTCCGTTCAAGTGATCCAATGAATGGTTCAACAATAGTACCGCATATTTGCCGACATCTAASACAAAGTGATCAATCAATTAGTTAGTAATTTCATATATGAAGACATGAAAAAAGTGATTAGATATGTCATACCCACCAATTGATCCAATATTGTCCACTCGTAGACACCCTCTGTATTGACTTTGTAAGCCATGTTGGTCTTGATGTTGGTGTCCGACAATTCAAGATTATTATGTGACAATTGATGACAAGTTGATGGACTAGTAGTTATCACATATATATACTAATAATAATAATAATACTATCATTACTTTAAATATATTTTTGTTATGCAATTATTCATTGCATGGGATATCGTATATCATATCGTATATCACATGTTGTTATCAAAACACTTGATATTATTTTCATTTATAAACATTTTTTTTGTATAATAATTATTATAATAAATATCATATAATTATTTTTGTAACTTTTTATTTATGATATATATATATTACTGATGTTATAAACGGGTAATAAATAATAAAAAAATTATTATTATTATTATTATTATTAAATATTTGTCACATTAGAAAATATGTTTTTATAATTTATATGATAACTATACACTACCGGGTGGTATATTATTATTACGTAATATCTCCCCCCCCTCTCTCTCTCTCTCTATGTGTGTGTTATTTTTAATTAAAATTAATATACAGTACAGTATAATATGTGGCGCTATACGGTATATATTAATTTTTTTTTTAAAAACTAAACATTTTGATACAGTATTACCTGTACTTTATTATTATTTATTATCAATTAAAGACGTTTTAAAATAAAAATATTGTGGGGGGAGAGGGATTGAAATATATATATATATATATATATAAATTACTTATTTGTTTTAAATAATTATATTTTTAGAGACACATAATATAATTATTGAATTTTTTTAAATTACAGGTAAATTAAAAAAAATTAATAATTATTTGAATTATATATATAGAATTATTTTTTAAATATTAATGTTTGTATAATACCGGTATATTGAATAGGGATGATGGGGTGGGGTTAACTAAAATGTATTTACGTGGACGTAGTTTATTGATAGTTCCATTACAGTCATGCTTTCGATGTGTACATTATTTTTATATATTAATTAATAATTTAGTTTCTATTGAAATATTTGGCACATATTTCACATTTACTTTTAACTTAAAAAACAGTAAACTCTATATTAATATATAGTTTATTATTATTATAAACACATTTAATACACGTTTTTTAATCTTTAATATCATATAAATTAAAAAACAATTACTTATTATTATTAATAATATTTTACTTATACTTAAATTAATAATTAATTTTGAAACCAAAAAAAATAATTTTCAATTGATTAGAGAAATCACTTAACAATTTCAAAGTTTTGTTGTCAATCAGTGTGTGTTTGATATCATCATAACAGCCGCCGCCGCCGTTATCACCGATAAAAGTATGGCCACCGCTCGGGTCAGCGATACGATGATCGGCGGCACGCGTCAGACAACTACAACAAAAACACGTGCACTTGTGTTGGACGACATGTCCGACGAGTCAGTACGTGTAACACACGTGGAAACACCCGAACGTTTTTATTGTCGCTTAGTTTCCGATGACCAACCATTGGCCGCACTCAACGAGCTTATAGCCGGCCAAACCCAATGTGGACCGTTGGCAGTGCACGTGTTGGTGGCCATTGATGATGTGCGACCCGGCGAACACCTGTTAGCCTATTCGACTATTCATCAGCAATGGTGCCGATGTCGTGTCCAACAGTTGGTATTGGCCGCCAATGACTCGCCGATATCACCAATCAATCTATTTTCTACCGCTGCCACCGCCGACTCTGCTAAATGGTCAGCTCGGGTACTGCTGACTGATTACGGTAGCGTCGAAGTGGTTGCAGCCTACAACCTTCGGCACACTACTGGCCAGATTGTCGACGCCAATAATGGTCAGCCGTTTTGTTTTGAATGCCGATTGGCAGCCGTCAAGCCATACCTCGACAGCCAAGAGTGGAGTTCATACGCCAACTATCTCTTTGAACGGCTGACCAAAGATCAGCCGATCTGTTTGCGTGTCGTCGACCAGTGCGACACAACTGGCGTTATTGTCTGTGATTTGTCATCAATTGGTGGCCTCGGCGGCGGCAAACAGTCGTTTCCATCTATGGTCGACCATTTGGTTGGCACACGAGTGGCCCGATATCGTGTGGGCGAAGATTTTTATCACAAACTATTGCCCGACGACTACGAGGGCTGCGATCACGAAACCAATGGTGACTTTGATTGGCATTCGGATGATAGCGATAATGAGGAAGAATTTGGTGGTAATGGAGGACATAGTAATAGTAATAATGACAACAAATTGTATTATATTTGATAATCACTAATATATTTAGCTATTTATGATTGAAAACTACAACTAATTTTCTATAATTATATAGTCATTTAAATTAAAAATTATTTAATTAAATTTTGAAAAATATTTATACTATTATTATTATTATCAAAAACAACAAATTATTATAACCTAATTAATTATTGATTAGAGATTGGAAAAAATGATAAATTAAATCAATGATAATTGTCTATATATATACACAAATAAATAATTGATCTACTTTATATAATGCCATATATAAAAAAATAATGTAATAATTTGTTGAAATTAAAATAATAAACAAAAATATTTGATATATTTATATTAAATTTAAAAAAAAAGATTATATATATATTGCAAGTAAATTACAATATATTATACAAATTAGTATATATTAACTAACATTTTATTTATTTTTATCATTTTATCTAATAATAATAATATATATAATTTATTAGATATATTGAAATAACCAGTTCTTGTGGTGTAGTGGTTATCACATCTGTCTAACACACAGAAGGTCCCAGGTTCGAAACCTGGCAGGAACAGTGCTTATTATTTTTTTGGTAGTTTCATAAAATATTTCCTATTACTTTGTGGTTAATCTAAATATAATTTTTATTTTATTATTATAATACCTAATAATAAATTGCATTTTTTAAAAATATTAGTTATCCATTTATTTTATTAAAAAATAATATTATGATATTAACATAAATATTAGAAAGTTAAATATTGATTTGATATAAAAAATAATTTAATTTATTGAATCTTATATATTTTATATTTAGTTTTTATTAAGTTTAATATTGTATTGATAATAATTGTTTATTTTTTTAATTAAAAATAATTGTATATTTACAGTAATAATTATTGTGTTAGCAATTAGTATTAAAATAGTTGGCAAAAATATTTTCCGTATCATTGATTTTTTAATTATTATTATTATTATTATTATTTGATTTTAAATTTCAACACATTTTTTTGTGTATGAAAATATTTGATAATTATTTTTTGTTTTGTTAATTAGTATTTGAAATAATTTTCGCAATTAGTCGACAAAAACTATAGTATATTCAAAGTCTATAGAAATTAAGGGATTTTTTTAAAAAAACAAACATTTTAATATATAATTAAGTATTTATTAATATTTTCTTTATTCAATATCATAAAATATAAAATTATATATGTAATTTTTTGTCTACCTTACAATTTTTGGGAAAAATACATAACATTATTTTATTTAAAAAATAAATGCCATTATTTAAAAATATATTATTGTTAGTAAATTAATTAAATTATTTTAATATCCACCTGTTTATTTTTTTTGTAACTTTAATTATAATTTTTAATTATGCATGTACTAATTACTATATATAACTTATAACGTATATGTATTTTATTTAGATTTATATGCTAATGTCTAATTGTGTCTTGCTCGTTTTTATTGACTTTGACACAAATTAATTTATATATTTAGTTAAATCAATTATAGTTAAGTCAATGACAATAATTAATTTTAGAAAAAAAAATTTTGAAACACCATTGAAACAATTATATAATACCGGTAATTATTATTTAGGATTAAAATCTTAAAATCTATTTGATTTAAATAGTATTATATAATTAATTAATGTAAAAATCTATATACAGTAGGAAACCCATTAACTAATTGGAAAATTTATTTATTTATTTTAGAAATATTATTAGATAATAGTACAAGGTTAAATAATTTTTACCAATTTTATTTTATTAGATTTTCACAGCAAAAAAAACTAAAAAAAAAAAACATTTTTAGTATTGTACGGGTTTACCAATACAGTAGAGTGACATTATTATTATTATTATTATTATTATTAATTTAAAAATTGTTTGTTTAAAAATATGAAAATTTTTATATAGAAAAATACATATTTTAAAAAATATTTTGTAATTTTTTGTGTTAGTAAGTGTTATAAATACATATGTAATAAATGAAATATAGTTCAAGTTTATGAAACAATTGAATTGAAAGTATTTTTTATTGAAAATAAAATTTAAATATATCACACAATAGAGAGAGACTCAAAATTTAAATATATATAAAATACATATATTATTTAAACCATCTCTCAAATAAACTTTTATATTCGTATATAATACTAAAAATTTAATTTTAAATTTAATTGTAAATATTTTGTAAATAAATATATAGAAATATATATACCTGTTTTCATCCTATTTAATCATATTTTGTTAAATATTATATTTTAGTGTTTTTTTTGTTAAATAAGTATATATATATATATAATAATTTCTATTTATTTAAAAAACAAGTGATATTTTTTTTAATTGATTGTTTGAAACACACACAATGATTGTGTCGACAAGTATTACATTACAGATGTTAACAGTTTCACTGTTGACAATACAGAGAGAATCGATTCACAAGAATATCCAAAACGCTTTGCCATTGAAAGAGTCGTACGATTACATAGTTATCGGTGCCGGCAGTGCCGGTGCAGTTGTGGCCAACCGACTAACCGAAGATCCCAACATCAATGTACTGCTGCTTGAAGCCGGTGGTCCACAGACAGTGGCCACCGATATGCCCGGTCTGGCCATACCCTTGTGGAAGGACATACCGGTATTCGACTGGGACTATCAAACAGTGCCACAAAAGTACGGATTGGCGCTGAAAGAACCGGGCGTTTTTGGCGAACGCAAAGGCAAGGCCATTGGCGGTACGTCGACCATCAACGGCCTGATACATGTTGTCGGCAATCGACTAGATTTTGACGAATGGTGCTATAAGTACGGTGCCGACGGCTGGAACTATGAGGGAGTACTACCGTATCTCAAGAAACTGGAAAACAATACCGACCCCAGAGTTGTACAGCAAAATCCCGGCTATCACGGAACTCGCGGACCAATATCAATGATCAGCGACCCGTCACCCGCTCCGCTATTGTTGAAGTTTCAAAAAGTCTACAACGATATGGGCTACGAAACATTGGACGTAAATGGACCCAAACAATTGGGTACTGCTTTCACACAGATGACCGTAAAAAATGGCTACCGATGCGGAACTGGCAACGGATATCTGACACCCAATAGACATCCCGACAACTTGAAGATATTGACACAAGCGTTGGTCACAAAGATTCGTTTCACGGATTTTGCCGACGAAATTACGGCCACTGGTGTCGAGTTTATCCGGCAAAACATCAAATACAAAGTCAACGCAAACATTGAGGTCATTGTGAGCGCCGGTATGTATTAAAATTAAAGTTTTTTTGGTCAAAATTTTAAATATAATATATTATTTATTGAACAGGTGTCTACAATTCACCACAACTACTGATGCTATCAGGTGTCGGTCCCAGAGCTCATCTACAGTCGCTGGGTATTCCAGTGGTCATGGATTTGCCTGTCGGTAACAATCTTCAAGATCACCCGAAAGTGGTGTTTCACAGTCTAATCAAAGACCAGGACTCGCAGCCGCGCGAACCCGAACTCAATATACCACAGATGTACGACTTCTTCGAGCACCGTAAGGGACCGCTGGCCAGCTATTCGTGTTTGTATACGTTTTTCAATACCAAAAGCAACACCAATATCCAGTGGCCGAACATTGTTTTGGCCGGTTTTGTACAAAAATACAAGAATAATATTACCGAAGTTTGTGCCAAATATGGCGAACGAATTGACGAATGGAAGCAATATTTTAGGCCATATTTGGGTAAATATTATCTGCGAACTGATGCCAATCTACGCAAACCAAGAAGTTTCGGTAGTGTCCGACTGGCCTCAGCTGATCCCTATAGAAAACCGCTTATCGATCCCAACTTTTTCGATGTCCAACAAGATTTCAACGATCTGGTAGAGGCGGCAAAGTTTTTGCTTTATCTCTTACAAGAGTCGCCTATTTCCAGGCACCTGGAGTTTAATCATAATCCCATACCCGGCTGTCAAATGTGTAGCGACCGACCCATGTATGCCTGCGAATCGTACATCCGATGCTATATCCGATTGAACGGAGAAAAAGAGTTACATCCGGTCGGTACGTGTCGTATGGGTGCCGTCACCCGTCCGGATACGGTAGTCGATCCGACCCTTAAAGTGAAAAACCTGTGCCGACTGCGTGTATGCGACGCCTCGATAATGCCGACCGTAGTCAACGGTAATACAAATACGCCGTCCATTATGGTCGGCGAAAAGTGCGCCGATTTAATCAAAAAAGATTTATATTCAAAACGATCGCTTAATAAACAACAAGAATCGGCGGCCAAAAAAAAGTTTTGAGTACCTGTCCACTAAAATCTGCCTAAAAGTTGGCCTAAAAAATCACATTTTATTGTGTTTGTGTGTTATTATTATTATCATTATTATATTTAAATTTTTAATTATTATTATTATTTGTATTTATACAACTGTTACAAATTTACTAATATATACTATAGTATTGTATATGTAGGATATATATATATAACTTATGTTTATTACTAATAAATTATTTAATTCTTATTAAAAAAAACAGAGTAAATATCTTTTATTTTTTTTTATTTTAATTTAATTTACAAAAACAACAAAATCTTTTAATAAATATAAAAAATTTAATTAATTAATATTACTTTAATAAATAAACTAAATTGATCTATATAGGAGAATAAAAAATATAGGAAATTAAATATTATATATTAAAATAATCAAATATTATAAAAAATATTAACAATTAAAATGTAAAATGATTAATTCATTATTCAAGCTTTTTTAAAATACAATTTAATTTTATAAAATTTACTAATTATTTTAGTTTAGAAAAATCATTATTATTAATGTTTTAATCAATATATTTACTTTATTTGAAAGTTCATTGATCTCATTAGTACAGAATATTTACACTTTATTTAGAAATATTATAGTCACTAATTATAATGAGAGTATATATCAACTAATAGTATATTATTTTTATTGATTAAATTACAGTATAAATATATAAGATATAATATACGAGATACTATAGTATTGATTAATTTAGTAATAAATAGATATTATTAAAAAAAGGATTCAATGTTAACATTATTATTATTTAAAAAATTATCAATGAATTTAAATATTTTACAATAATATTAATAGTAACTAATACATATACACAATAATACATGTATAAACAATGGTTATTAAAATTATGTATATAAATAATATTTTTTTCAAAATTTATTTGACATTAAGTACTATTGTATAATAAATTATTATAATAACATATAAAACCAAAAAAAATATATGAATATTAATTGGCAAACATTTTTATATGAGTTTATTGAACTCATTTTTTCTCTCTATTATAATACAATCGTGCATCGCTAATATATATCAGTTTATTAAATAAAAACGGTTTAGATTTATCAATCACATTTTGTTTATTATTTATTTATTTATTTTTTGCTCACAAATATCTAGGTAAATTATTATATAATATTTAAAAAATTATTAAAATAATTAACTTCATAAGAAATTTTTTGATTGTATTGTGATTATTAATCTACTTATCATTTAACTAAAAAACAGCAAAAAAAATAATATTACAAACATTTATCTGTAGAGGAAATTATTATTATTGTTGTATTATATGATGCAATATAATCAATATAATTGTTAAATTCTATGGGCTATTAAAAATGCAAAATAAAAATAAAACTTTATGTATATTTGTGATTATATCTAACTTTATCTTTTTTTAAAAAAACAACTCACAGATACACACATACACTAAAATAACATTAATTGTAAAGTTAGCCTTTGATATTAAAATTAAAAAATAAATTAAATTTCTATATTAATGTTTATTAAATGCTATTTGGTATTCATTTAGTGTATCATCAGTTATTGTGTACACACTAATCGCTTTTTACTACATATTGTATAATATAATATTATTTGATATAATGTTTTGTATGTCCATTAGTGGTAGTAGTAGTAGTGGCTGTGGTAGTCATGCCTATGTCCTTAATGGCTATAATAATGAAACTAATAGTAAAAGTAATAATAATAATAATAATAAAAATAATATACTGAAGTTCAAAGCCAGCAAAAAAACTGATAATAATAGTTTAGTTATTGGTTTGGATGATACACATACAGCAAATGTATTTTATCAGCACAGGTATGATAATTAAAAATCAAATCAAATAATTCAAAAAATATATATTTATTTATTTATTTCTATATATTTTTACTATTATGTAATAATTATTTCTTATTATTTTTTAAAATTTTTATTTATTTTTGTTATTGTTAGTTAAATACAATATAAAACAATTTATAATAATAACATAAACAATTATAGATAAATTATATTAATATTTGTGTAAATTTTTATTGTGTATCTAAATATATAATTAAAAATATTTTATTTTCAATGATTTTCTTTAATAATTTGTTAATTTAATAACTTGTAATTTTAATATACTCTATAATAAATATAATTTATTACAGTAAAATGATTATTTAAAATAATAATATAATATATGTTAAATTTGTGTTTTATTTTATTTAAATGCATAATATTAGTATAATAAAAGTATTTCAATGTTATACAGTGTATATAATAGCTTATAACTTTATATGTACTGTATTTAATTATTTTTTAAAAAAATATAATAAAGTAGTATAAAGTACATAAAATGTATTTTATGTGTTTTTTATTATATTTTATTTATATTGAAATATCAAATTGACTTGCTTAAATGATTATTGATTTTTTAAAATTATTTTTTTTTGATAAATTAATATTATTATTTTTATATAAAATACCAAAGTATTTGAATATTTTATTATGTTAATGCTAATTTTAGTTTTTATTGGAAATTTATTTAAAATTATTTCTACATGTAAATTTGGATAATTAATTATACAAATTAACTATTTAATAATAAAAATAAATATATATAGTGTATATTATGTTAAATTATTACAATATCTAAATGTTTATTTTTATTTTTTTAATAAGTTAGTGCTTAATATATCTTGCTATATGATATCTTATAAAATTGAATTGATATATAATTTATATTAAATATTAGATTTTTAAAAAAAATACAACAAAATTATGATTAATGTGTATAGTATTATTATTATTATCTATTTTTAATTAACCAAAAAAAATATTAAAATTTATACATATGTTTTATTATGCAACTATTATATACAGTTATATCTATTTTGTTAATAACATATCGTATCAATCATTTAATAATAATATTTTATTATTATTAATACTTTTCTTTTTTTTTATATGTATAATATACAGAATGTTTCCCCGGAAACAGTATATTAACACTACTATTGCTGGTGTTGGAGGACTGGGAGCACAGTCCTCAAAACAGGTGAACCATAACAACTATTACAGAAACGACAATTACGCCAATAATCAATATATTAATAACACTAGTAATAGTAATAATAATAATAATAATATCAGAAATTCAACAAATCAATTAAATGATGACAACAATTATTATTATAATAATAATAATATTACAAATAATACTAATAATAACACCGTTGGAAATAATATCATTAGGAAAGACATGTCCACCAAATCAAACCAAATGTTTTTAGTGTTAGGCCAGAGAAAAGTGCTAATAGAGTCACCAAAACAACCGGCAATTAATATGAGGTATGTTTGTTGTTGTTATTGAAACAAAATAATTTAATACATATATGTTTTTTTAAAAATATATAATAATAATATTTTGGTTTAAATTATTGATTAATTTTGAAATAAATTAGATATTAGAAAATTATTTAATAAAATTTTTTAGATATATACTCAAGCATTTTTTTAAACTTTCAATTTAACTTTTAATTTAAACAACTAATTAAAATATTATATACAATGTATATTCAGATATATTGTATATACTAAAATAACTTTTTTTAAAACTTTAATTAAACTAAATTTATTAAAGTAACAAAGTTAATGATGTTTACGAAAAATTTGAGATATTTTTCTAATTAATTAATATCATAATCACATTATAAATATGTTTGTTGTGTTTTAATTATTATGTTATATAAATTAATAGTCTTGTTATAATTTTGATAAATATTTTTATCCATTCAACAAAATTGAAAAAATCTTTATAAAGCATTAATATTAGTGAAACAATAAAACATGTATTGATTAATTGTATACTCATTATTATTATTATTATTTAAAAACAAATTGTACTTTTTATGATATTATATGTATATTTTAGTTAATTTATTTTAGTTTATATATATTTTTCAATCAATATTTTATTTATAATGATATTTTAAATTTTTGATTTAGTTAGATTATTATATTTATTTGCTAATAACATTAACTAATAACTTAAAATGTTTATTAAATATTAATAATGACTTAATTAATAATTATTTTTATGATGAATTGATAATCAATTGCTTAAAATATATACCAAATGATAATATTAATAATATATACATATATACCGTTATAATCGTAGAAACATAATTAATTTGTAGTACATATTTGTTGCAATTAGTTTAATACAGTTATGAATAATTAATTTTTCATATCGACCCAAATAAATAAGCTATAATATAACACATTTTATAATCACATTTTTTAAAATTAATTATTTAAATATGTTTAGTATTTATGGTAATTACTGGTTAGTTAACAATTTATTTATTTTTATTTTTAAATTTAAATTTTAGACTAAAAAATTCAATAAATCAGTGATAAAAAAAACTTGTTAATGATTAAAATACAAACAATATATTTGTTTAAAAAATATTTTTAATTTAATTTTTATCTGTATTCAATTTACTATTTGATTTATTATTCATATATTAGTTTATATCGTATTTAATGATGAATATTATAGAAATATAATATGCAATAATGAAAATACTAATGAAATAATAGTAATAATAATACTAATACTAATAAAAAAAATAACAAAATAATAGTAAGTTTCTATAGAAACTATTATTTCATATAAAATCAAAACATTGAAAAAAATATTAATATTGATGTACAGTATACTGATGATAATAATAATAATTATTATTATTATATATATACAGTATATGTTTATATCTATTAGTTACATAACTTTAATTGCAATGTTCATCAGAAAATTTATATAATTATTTTGTTTGTCTAAAAAATTTATTTAATTAATTTAACCATCTCTTGTTAATTAAAAAAATAATAATCTTGAAACGATATACAGTATAATAAAAATTGATTATTAAGATGATTAAGATCAGTGATATATTGTATATACCTTTTATTATTATTAACTTTATATACCAATTATAAACTGTTATAATTATTTTTCTGAAACATTTGCTGTAACTGACAAGACTACTAATTTAAGTATACATTTATATAATTATTATTAGCATTTTAGTAGTAGTAGTATTATTATTATACAGTATTATTATTTTGCAAAAATTATAGTCTATGCCCAATAAATGCAAATAAATTTCGGAAATTTAATTTTAATTTATTTTAAATGATAAAATCTCATCTTGATAAGTGTATTATAACAAAAAAAGTGATTAATATTTAATACAATTATATTATTGTGTATTTTTATTAACATCTATTGGTAATAATTACACACACAAAAATATGTAAGTTATAAGTTTTGCAAATTATACCCAGTTACAATTTAATTTTTTCTATAAATTTTTTTAGGTTTAATTATTAATAAACTTATAAAAAAATAATAATAAACATTATCTATCTAGAAAATGCATATTAATATATATATATGGGAATCACAATAGAAAATATTTTGCAAAATTGTTTTATAGGAATATATTAATATCAATATAAATTTATATATATATATGTATATATAAAAGTGTATATAACATAATTGTCACCGATAAAAAAATTATTAAATTTTATTATTATTAAATTTTATGGTAATTATTATTATTATTTAAAAAACCCAATGTATTGCTTGAATCTATGATTTAAAAGGAAACCTCAACGCAATCATTACACACCAGTTATGGATAAATACGAAAAGATAGCAAAGATTGGCGAAGGAAGCTATGGTATTGTATTCAAGTGTCGTAACCGCGAAAATAACGGCCAACTGGTGGCCATCAAAAAATACGTCGAAACAGAGGACGACCCCCTAATCAAAAAGATTGCCTTAAGAGAGATACGAATGCTTAAAGTATGTCACCAAACAAACAAACAAATAATTATTATTATTACGTTTTTTTGTTGCTTAGTTTTAATTAATTAGATAGTACTGTAACTAAAGATATTAGAAAATAGAAATTTCTATTAGAAACTTCCCTGAGATAATTTCCCTGAGATAATTTCCCTGAAAATATTTCTATTGAAATTTAACTTTATTATTATAGTATGAAATCCCTATATCTATAGCTATTGTAATAATATTAATATATATATATATATATATATATATATATATATATATATTAATGAGACAATACATATATTTTATTAAATACAAAATAAGGATCCCTATATATAAAATTAAAGTTTTGTATAAATTTATTAAATTATTAAATTATATTTTTAGTTTAAAAGTAGTTTAAAATACTGATACTACTACTAATAATATTATTTAACTATTACTTATAAATCAAAAATGTATTTTTACAAGATCCAATTAATATCGAGTAAACAAAATTAACCAAGTAGATTTTCCCCATATGACAGAAATCTTATAGAAACTTTCTAGAAATTTCCTCTTAATTTATTTGTCTGTCAACACAAACTATGCTATAAAAAACTAATTGTTTGATTTATTTTTATTATTATAACTACTCTTATGTTTCTCTTATTATTATTATTTTATTTATTTATTATTAGCTCTTAAAGCATCCGAATCTCATTAATCTGATTGAAGTGTTTAGACGTAAACGAAAATTGCATTTAGTGTTCGAGTACTGCGAGCTAACAGTGCTCGACATACTTGAAAAGTATCCGAAAGGCGTTCCCGACGGTCTGACCAAAAAAATTATTTGGCAAACATTAAATGCCATTAATTTTTGTCATCAGCACAATGTATGTCCAATATTTTGTTTGTTTGTTTGTTTACTTTATTTTTTGATATATATATATAATTCAACATAACTTTTCTTATAGTTTTTAGTTTTGTTTTTTATCATAATTACGTTTTCTAAGAATTATGATTAAATTATTTTTTTGATATATATATATTTAAGTAAAATTCTAAGTATATTAGTATAAATAATTAATTAATTAGCTATATATCGAATTCAATATAAGGTGTATAGTCTATAAATTATATATTATTACAGTTATATATATTATTTTATTTTATTTTATTTAATATATAGAATTTCAAATAAATTTAGTATAGTATATATATATATATAAATACATGTAATATATATAAATTCTTAATAAATTTTTTGTTTTGTTAATGAAATTCTTAGAAATAATAAAATTCCTATTAATGGTAGTAATAATATATATATATATTTCAAATAGAAATAAATAGCTGTTTAGTATTAATGATATATTTTTTTGCTAATGATACTAATGATTCCTTATAAGTTAAAATGAATTAAATTTCTAAAATATATGTTAAAATTAGTAAATAAAAAAAATCTCTTAATATTATTTGTATTTATTATGTATATTAAATATCATATTTATGTATCATTATGTGTCAGTTTATATTACAAACAAAAAAACAAAAAATCTAAATTAATTAAATATTTACAAAAAAAAAATATTATACATTATGATATGACAATTTAATGATATGAATATTTGATTATTTAGTAATAGTAGTAATAATTTATTAATAATACTCTATATATATATATATATTGATATTATCAGTGCATTCATCGAGACGTCAAACCGGAAAACATTTTGCTCACCAAAGACTGTATCGTAAAACTGTGTGACTTTGGTTTTGCCCGAACACTAAATCCGGGCGAAAATTATACCGACTATGTGGCCACCCGTTGGTATCGACCACCCGAACTGCTGGTCGGCGACACACAATACGGTGCACCAGTCGATGTCTGGGCCATTGGCTGTGTAACAGCTGAACTGATGCGCGGTGAGGCACTGTGGCCGGGAAAGTCCGATGTCGACCAATTGTATTTAATTCGTAAGACAATCGGCGATCTAATGGCCCGACATATGACAGTATTCAAGACCAATGAGTTTTTTACGGGTGTCGTACTACCCGAACCCGAAACTCACGAACCGTTGGATACGAAAATACCGAAACAAATTGAAGAATCGGGTATGGATTTTCTCTATAATTGTTTGGACAAGGATCCACAAAAACGGCATACTTGCGACCAATTAATGCGACACCAGTACTTTAATAATGTTAAACTACCGGAGCTTAACGATCAGGAATCAGGAAACAACAGTACTTCGGATAGTATTAGAAATCAGTCATCAAAATTCATACGACAACGATCTAAAGTATAAGTTTTAATTTACATAAATATAAAAAATATTATAATTAATTAATGATTTATTTTTTTTCTTTTCATCTATCCGTCCTCTAAAAGTACGGACAAACAATATTGCCGACACTGTTGACCAATACTGTCAAGACTGGGACACCCGATATACGGGCCGTACAGTTGCACTCAAGGTATGTCAACCAAAACAACGCCAATAATAATAATAATAACCTCAACAACAACAACAATATCAAGAGTATGGCACCCATACATCAGGGATCGGTTGATCGCAATGATAACTACGGACCACTTACTCGGACCACACGTTTCGATCATTTGCCTAATATTTAAATAATTAAATTAAAAAAAAATTATTATAATTTAATGACAAAATTCAAACATAATTTTCTTAATTATATATAAATTTTTAATTTTAAAAACAATTAAATCATAAGAATTTTTTTCATATTATTAGTATTAGTATGCAATTCAATTGCATAATATGATAATACCGGTACATTTTATTAAATATTACTGTATATATATATATATATTACTACAAAATCATTAACAATACATTTATAATTTATGACTATTTTTAAAAATAAATTTATTTAAAAAAATGATTAACATTGAATTTAATTTGAAAACAATTATAGCATATTTTATTTTGTGTTATTAAAATAAAATAATTAATTTGTAATTTTCAATAAAATTAAATATATATACTGTATATATATAACTTATTTATTATTAAATTAATTGATGTCAAACAACAAGTGTTTTTATTATCTGCAAAATCCGTTTTTATATACAGTATTAGAGGTATTTTAATTAATTTATAATAAAAACCAGTAATTGTATTTTAAATTAACATTATTATTACTGTATCACAGTATTACTACTCAAATTAAATTTTGTTTTATTGTATAAAACTATTATATATAGATAGATAGATATAGATTAGATTTAAATAATTAAATTGAATTTTTGATTTCCTAAAAAATATCTAATTTAATTCAATAATAATGTTGAAAGTGCTTAATATTTTATTGCTAACATCAATTGTAACGCCATTACTACTACAGGTATTAATTTGTGAACATCTAGTATTAGCTAACAGTGTTGCAGTGATTGATAACAATATTGATGGACATAACGGTACCACCAGATGCTTGTCATCATTGTTAACCCGTAGTCCATTGAATTGGATTCAACAAGGTTATACCATTTATTTTTTTTATATATAATTTTTATTAAAGTAGTTTAAAAAAATTAATTATTTAAATAAATTTTTATTTAGCATTAAATACGGCCTCAAATGCGTTCAGTTTGGGTATAGAAACGGCCGGCCAGTGGTTTGGTTTTGGTATCAATGCAGCCAATGATTGGTTCAACTTTTTGACAAATCCACAAAACAATACTAATATTGATAATGATATTAACGGCAACTCTAGTAATTAGATTTTATGTGCTTTTAAATCTATTTAAAACTATTAACTCAAATAAATAAAATAAAAATAAATCTAATAAAACCTAAAGTGAAAGTTTCTTTCTTTCTCTCTCTCTCTCTTTCTTATAGTATTACAGAATATTCTGTATGTTATATATCTCATAGTATTCCAGAATATTCTGTATGTTATCTCTCTTTCTCTCATTTGTTGCACTTTTATTTTTATTTTGTGTTATTTTATTAGCCAACACAAGTGAATCGTTAAAAGTAATGAGACTGCAAACAGAAATACAGAGATTGGAAAAAGATTTGGGAAACTGGAACACTTGGTTTCGTAGAGTCAAAGAGAAACGACTCGTTGAGCTCAGGGATCAACTCAAACAGTTAGCTGAGAAAAATCAATTGAACATTAATGGGGTGAAACCAGAGACGACAGCACCAGCACCGCCACCACTAACACCACTAGATGTTAGTAATGTTAACTTCAATTTGAGTACAACAAGTATTCCTCACATACCTAACGTTAGTACTATTACTACTACCACTACTACTACTACTACTACCGAAGCTCCAATGGTCGGCACTGTTAGCAATCAAACACAGGATGACACTGTGGTCTCGATTTTCTCATAGACTCTACTTGCTCTCTATGCTATCTTTTAACTCTCTCTCTCTCTCTCTCTCTCTCTCTCTCTCTCTCTCTCTCTCTCTCTCTCTCTCTCTCTATTCTCTAACCTCTCTCACTTGATATCACACACAGACACACATACTCTAAACGCTACACAATTATGTTATACAATGTTATTTGCTGTTTTCAACACACACATACACATACACACACTTATAACACACACACACACAACTACACGACTGTATATTGTGTGTGTAATATTAAATTATCTTACTTTTATGCCGACACTATGTAAAAAAAGACTGGAAAACCTGTTAAAAATATGGTAATACTAATAATGTATTGAAAAGTTTAAAAAATTATTTGATTATTAACTGTGTGTTTTTCTATCTATCTATCTATCTATCTATCTGTCTATATGTATGTGTGTATATGGTGTGTATATAGATATACATATATAAAATATGTATTTTAATAATGTAACAAAATTCAATTAATTTAATTTTTAAATAACAATTGTATTATTAAAATTATTATTAAAAAAAATTATGTGGCAAACATATATTTATAAATATATTTATATACTGTATATAGTATCTAACATGTTGCTGCTGTGTCATCAATAATAATAATAATAATAATATCTAAAAATAAAAGTGCCAATAATAATGATGATGATGAGGATAACAATAAATTATCAATAAAATAATAATATAATATATATATAGTATATTTATAGCAACAACAACAACAATTTTGTCGATTATTATCAAATCTATGTGTTGTTTATTAAATTATACGCACATTTAATGTATATGTATGTGTATGTACTGACAACTAGTAATTGTTATAAATTTATTTTATATAAATATATATTTATTGAAGTATAATATATATATTTATATATATATATAGATATAATTTTTGTGATTCTGTGATTTTATGCCATTATTATTACGGATAGATAACACATCGTATAATATAAAAAAATAATAATTTATTATTCAATATATATACTGTATATATATGTATATATTAAAAATTTTGAAAATGTGTTTTTTTTATTAAATAATGATCAAAAATAAATATGTTTAGTATTGTATTATTATTATTATTACCATTTTTAGTAGTAGTATTATTAAGTGATTAAAACTATGGATTCATCGCCGACATCATCATCATCACAGAGGACAGGTCGCGGACCACTACCTAATAGTGTGGTCTCATTCATGAAAAAGGTTTTTTTAAAAAAAAATATTTTATTAATATATAATTATATATGTTTTAATTTATTATTAGTTATGATTATGTTTTTTTTTGTTGTTCAACATTTAGTAATTTAATATATATACATATAAAAAATAATGTTTTAACGCAATTGGGTTTATAATTAGCATTAAATAGTATAGCATTTATATAGTATAGTGTACTGTATTTCAAATCAATTTAATCACTAATTTTCTAAATACTATTTAATCTATAGATTATATATGTTTTATGTTTTTATTTAGAAAAATAAAAAATACCCGTCGATTTATTATAGATAATATTATAATGTATATAAAAAATAGTAATTATCTTTTTAATGTTAATTTTATAAATATATTACTAAAATTTCTAGAAATTATCTTTTTAATGCTAATTTTATAAATATATTACTAAAATTTCTAGAAATTATCAGTTTTGTAATTGTAATAAAATATTTTTATGTTTTGCTTTGCATTTTGTTTATATGCATAACAACTATTTCTAATATAATTAATTAAATTTTTATATACTATTAATAGATTGTATATAAATGTATATACATTTATGTACAGTATTTAATATTGAAACAATTTTCATGATTACACAACTTCTAGCCAACAAATATATATATAGTATAAATCATAAATAATATTTGTGTAAATGTCACAAAAAATAACAAAATTGTTTGCAAATTGATTTTGTACACAAATATTTGTTTTATTAAAATACTAATATTTATCTCAACAACAATTTTTTTTAAAAATAACTTTTGAATAATGAAATTTTTGTTGTTGTTATAATTAAATTAATATTTTATAAAAACAACAAAACCAAAAAATAAATAAATAATTTATTTATGATTTTAAATCTATATATAATATATTGTATTTGTTTTTTGCTGTTGAGTTAATCTATTAAAATATAAATCGTATAGTTTTATCTATAATATTATATTTTATCTATTAGTTTCACTTTATATGTTGCCTATTGTACCGTATATACTGTATATACAGTATTAGTAATTTTAATTTGTTAGAAATGTTTTTTTTATCTGAATTTATTTAGCTAAAAATTTTTTCAATTAAACAATTTTGTACATATAATACATGCAATACAACACATATTGTTTAAAAATTGAGATTTTGTCGACTACATTGAAATTACATTCACTATGTAATTAAATTACATCAATAATAATAATAAACACAAAATATATTAATCAATTTAAATATATATTAAAAATAGTTTTTATTATTATTTCAACAAAAAAAATTGTAATTTAATTTATTAAATGTTTTCTCTCTCTTTTTTTATTTGACATTTTAGGGCAATTTAATTATATTGATGATATATATGATAAATAAAAACAAATAAATAAAAAATTTCTACATAATATATAAATATAATAAATATCACCTACACAAAAAATATAATTTATCTAATCTATAGACAATAAAATTTTATGTATTAGATAAATTTTATTTTCATATATTTTTTTTAATTTCATTTTATCCATAGAATAATATTAGAATTAATTATATATTATATATATATAAGTTTATATATACTTTATGATACAAATCATCATATGTTATACAATAATAATGTATAGTTGACAGACACTACACTATACAATATTTGAATCACTAATGGAGGCTTAAAAAAATTGTATAATCATTTTTTAAGCTTATTATCTATACGTAAAATATAAGATTAAATCTGTCTATATATATATAAAAAAAGTTATTATTAATAATATTAATATGATATGTTAATGTTAATAACATATACTGTACATATATGAATAATGAATACTGAATAATGTATTGATTATTATATTATAAATATCTTTATAAATTTTTCAGATAAGTTATTTTAATAATTATATGATTATATTTGATGTTGTACATATGAAAATAATAATAATAACAATGATTATAGCTTTTATTATTATTATTATAGACATCATATTAGACATTATATTAACATTTACATTATGTTTTTTTAGAAAATATATATTTTTATATAAATAATATGTTTATAAATCAAATAATAATATAATTTGATTTTTAAAATTTTGTTATTCTATAGAGTATTCATAAAAATTTAATTAAACTTATATTTTGTATATATATATATAATATTTTTATATAACATTAGTTTTGAGTTTAAAGCAAAAATATTATTATTCGTACAAATGGTAACTGAAAAAATATATATATATTTTCTAAATTGAAAAATTTTACGCTACAAATATTGAATTTTCTATATATATATATTTATATAAAAATGTTTATATATATATGTGTGTGTATTTGTACTATATAGTTGTATTTTACTATTTTTACTCAATGTTTGTTTTGTTCAATAGAAAATAAAAAAGACATAAAATTAAATAAAATTTGCAAACTATATATATAACTAGTGTAGTAAATATACTATACTATAGTATTTATTATATTGTATTTGTTAATATAACGCAAAAAATAAAAATAATAATAAAGTTGTTGAATAGCTTGTTGATTGAATAGTCGATTTTTATTTTCAAGCAATATTCTGTATATTACAGTATATAACATTTTATTATATATATATAGTATATTGATATACAGTATATGTATATACAATAAATTTTGTTTATATTGCATATTTCGTATACAGTAAATATAGTGTGTATACATACAGTTTATTTCATAGATATTTTGTATAAATATAATATTCACATATCCTTTATATATATATTATACTATCATATACTAAATAAGAGAATATTCTGTACATATAAATTATTTTGTAAATACAGTAGAAACCACTCATTCAATGACTTTGACCCAATTCCTGTACACTACAGTACTGTACAGTTACAGTATAGAGCACTACTAAAAACCTTGTTTATCGATTTTTCCTTTAATTTTGTGTGTCTGGGCTTACATTTACAACAAGTCTCTCTCTCTCTCTCTCTCTCTCTCTCTCTCTCTCTCTCTCTCTCTCTCTCTATACTTTAATATTACAGTTTTATGCTCTAACCTCAATTGGAGTATTAAAAAAATAAATATTTTTATATACCGCTTGATTAATAACTGGATTATCATCATTAATGGTGTGCTGTTAATATAATTTATATAAGCTATCTATCCATCTATAATTAATACTGTATATAGTACTGTAAATTATTTATATATAATATATATATATATACTGTATATATACATTGTGTTTGTATATATATATATATATATTTAATGATGATTACAAATTTTAGGAATAAAACAAATTTGTTAATGTTTTTTACTATTTAGTTAGTTTGAGATATTTTAAATGAAAACAATGAATAACAACAACAAAATTGTTTCCCRTTATTATTAATAATATTTTATAGTTGACTATAATTTTCGACTTTCTAATTATTTTGTGTTAATTTAATTTGGAAATTACAATAAAATAAATTCCACATATTTTATATATATACTGTATATATATAACCAATAATAAATTTAGTATAAATTATAATAGGAAATTTTAATTAATAAAAAAAATGTTTAGCATATTTACTATTACTACTACACTTAATCATTATTACAAATAAAGCAAAGATCAACAATAAAGATTATAATATGATTAATGTTTATTATTTTTATCATTTATTAACATACAGAGTGTTGTTTTATTTTAACATATTCTGCTATATAGATAGTACATTAATTTAATATTATTTACTCTATTATTATTATTATTATTACTATATAAATATATCAATAATATTATCTCTAAGTTTATTATTATTCACTATACAGTATATAAATTATACGGTAAATTGATTTGCTATAAATAAAATACTCTCAAAAATAAGACAAATGACATACAATTTTAATATTAGTTAATAGCTTTAATAATAGTAGTAGTAGTAATTGTTGTTTTTGTTTTTGTTGTAATARTAATATATTTACTGATAAGTTAGTAGTAGTAGTAGTAGTAGTAGTAGTAGTAGTAGTAGTAGTAGTAATAGTAGCAGTTGTTGTTGTTGTTGTTTTTTTTGTCTATAAATATATGCATAAAAAGTACTACTATATGATATCAATATGTTTTTGGATATAAATTTATATAGTATTTCGCAATACAACAATTGCATTAAACAAATGGATATCCATTAATATAATGTTAAGTAAATGTATTGTACTTATGTTGCTATCAGTTGATCCTAAAAAATAATACATTAGATGTGTATATATATATATATATATAATATTTTTTCTATTTCTCTCTCTCTCTYTCTCTCTCTCTCTCTCTCTTTCTCTCTCTCTCTCTCTCTCTCTCTCTCTCTCTCTCTCTACAGTATAAATGTAAATTTACTTTATATGATATTCAGTAATATATAGACAATTGTAGTATAGTATACCGTTTATACGTACCTTACAATATAGAGGTACTGTCATATTGTATAAATAATATTTTTAAACACTTGATCTATTATAACATGTATACTGTATATGAATCAACAGTTAGTACTGTATTATTAATAATAATACTAAGTGTTAATGTTTTATATTAATAAAAATATAAATTCTTAATATTTATAATATTTTTTAAAAAAGTTTTTAAAATATTTAGTTTCTAGTTTACTATAATTTTATTAGTTTAACCAGAGAATATRTATCCAGATCAATTTGTATAAATTAAAAAATATAATAATAATAATAAATGCTATTTTTCTAATAAATCTCATGTTTAATTATTTAAATATTCAAACATAACTAATAGTATTATTTATTATAATTGTCAAAAATATTACATTTTTTATATTCAAGGCTATGAAATATTTATTAAGATAGTAAAGAATATAATAGACATGTAATACAATTTAATATAAAATACTAAAATTAAATTAAAATATGATATAATATATTTTAGAAAATAATTTAAACAAAATAATTTTATAATTAAATTATATTAAAAAGTTTAAAAAAACAATTCATATAATTTGTGTAGTTGTATATTTATAGTATATGATATAATAAATTATATAATATTATAATACCAGTAAATTATAAAGTTATATAATATAAACAGTTATACACATACAGTATATATATATATATATATTAATAACATTAATATAATTTTACAGGAATAATAACAATAGAAAAATAAGAGATAAATTAGTTTATATTAAAAATTTTAAAATACATATTTTGGCATTTTTTCAAAAAATAAAAATAAATGATATAAGATATAAATGAATTATTATTTTTTAATTTTATTAAAATATCTTTAAAACATATAATGTTATATACTGTAGTATCGATAAATTAAATAATTATTCAAATATATATATATTTATTTATTTCTTTATTATTTTCCCATTAAAGATGGTCACGAAAAGCGGATCACCCGATAGATCCACTACTGGTTCTCCATTGAACAGTCCATCTCATAGTCTAATGTCGAGTCCATCGCCGGCTTCAATGTCCGTATGCTCGACATCGTCCGGCGGCCAGTATTCAAGTAGCAGTGGTCATCATCAGCGTAGTCATCATCGGCAACAGTCCATATCCAGTGGCGGCGGCGCACACATGTCTTCGCCGAGCACTGGCGGACCGTTTAGCCGTATAAGGGATACATTGTCGCACAAAATGCTCGCCTCCTTAACCAATCATCAGTCGTCCTCACTGTCGACCGACCAGTTGACAGCCCATCTGACTGATGAAGAGCGCAATATATTGCAGAAAGTCTTTCAAAAAGAGGAACAATTCCGGGAATTTGCTCTCAAAGGGTTTGTATTTTTTTATTTATTTTTTTTTGTTTAACACATAAATAATATATATATATTGCAAAGCTGTGCCAACTGTCCAGTAGTCGTTAAACTTGATTTTCTAACCCATTAGATAATTATATCTATACTCTAACACCTATTATCATCTAATATTTCATTTTATAACCAGTTTTGTTATGTATTAGAATAATAAGGATTTAATTTTAATCTACTTTTAACTAAAGTAGTATACAGTAAAATACATAAATAAAAAATCATAAATTTATATTTAAATAATAAATAATAATTTTTTAAAAAAAATACAGAATACAATTTAAAGTAAAACAATTATTTAATCTAAAAAAATAGTATTTAAAATGTTCAAGTTCAATTTTTAAAAATTAAACGTAAACATACTATTTATACTCGTAAAGCAGAATATTAACAATTTAGACAATAAATTATAAAAATGATTTACTATTGAATATATTTTTAAACTGTAGCTTAAAATAAATTATATATAATATACTGTACTTAAAATATTTTTGATAATGATTTTTGTTTGTTGTTTGGTTGATCACTCTAGTTATTATATATATATAACAGAAATCTATTTTTATGACATAATAACATTTTTTCTTATTTTATTTTCACTGTTTATATACTATATATATATATATATATATATATACGATATATTATATTTATATCGTTATTTACTTATATATATATATATATGATATATGTATCTAATATTATTCTGTGCCGCAATTTTTTTCTTTAATATTACATTTATATTGTTATTGATTTAAGTAAAAAAACATTTATTATTATTATATAAGATAAATTTAGATAAAAATAACTTAATAAGGTGGCTTATTAATTAATTTATATTAACAATAATAATAAGCCTAAACATTTATGGTGTGTRTATATATATGTGTGTGTGTTTTATCTATTAATATATATTTATATTAAATAAAATCAGACATTTTGAATGGTTTTCGGGAACCGATGGAGAGTCAGTCAAGCAATACTATTATACAATAAAGTCTTATATATATATATAAGTATAATATAATATAAATCTAATATATTTAGTATATTTACACCTACACACACACATGTATACACAAACATAATAAGCATACACTTATAAGTTATATTTAAGTTATAACTCTTTTTTATAATATTATATATATATTATATAATACAATATAATATATCTATTTTGGGATAAAAATCTGTTTTAGTTTCTAATCTATTCCTTTAACAACAACAACAAAAAAAGGAGACCTAATATACAGTGAAATAAATACAGTACAACACAAAAGTGAAAGAAAAAATAGTAGTTTTTTGTGTGTGTTTTAATAGAAAACAAAAAACACTAAATTAATGGCAATTAACTCACATTACAGTATTATAGTATACAACTCTCTCTCTCTCTCTCTCTCTCTCTCTCTCTYTCTCTCTCTCTCTCTCTTTAATATGTTGTTATGTTCAGCGATTGATTAAAATTTAATCTCATATATAGTAAATGCTAAATAATTGATTATTATTTTATAAGATTAGAAATAACTTTATATACTATATATATATAGACTATTATTAATAAATGTATATATATATATATAATTTTATCCATGTGACATTTAATCAATAAATATCCCCAAGTTAATTATATAATGGATGAATGACTGTGCGTATGTATGTATGTRTGTGTGTGTGTGTGTATGTATGTGTGTGTGTGTGTGTGTGTATGTATGTGTGTGTGTGTGTATGTATGTGTGTGTGTATTTGTGTATGTGTGTGTGTGCATATGTTGTAGTATATGTCTATATATTTAGATATAAATTTATATATAATATATAACTATATATTTTTAGTTTTAATCTTGTGTAACGGGTCCATGATCAATTATTGAACTGTCAGTGAAATATTATCATATATAAAAAACATTGTTATCTTATATCATATCAAACGATAAATATATAACTAATAGAAAATTTTCAAATTAATTCTAATGAATAATTTTTCGATTGATTAACAAAAAAAATATATTAATATTTAATACATATAATTATTAATCATCTTTTTTGCTAATAACTATATATATAAAGAAACACAGTGTTTAGCATCAGTTTTATTGTATATTTATTTATTATAGATAATMAAAAAAATCTAATTAAGTATATACTGTGTATATTTATAAGTAAATATATATATATATACTGTATGTTACCATAATTATCATATATTGTATATATATATATATCATACTTGAAAATTATATTTTTGTTGAATTTTAGTTTTCTAGTTATCCAGAAATTACATTTACAAGTGTTCAACTATATTTTTTTGTAATAAAAAATTGATATCTTAAAAGCAACTACAAAAAAAATATTTATTGATATACTACTACTACTTGTATACATATGCACTTTATATAGTAATTGTCAATTTGTTTTTTATAGATCGGTATACTGATAAAAAAATACTATTTTTATATTGATATATATATATATRTATATATACAGTACATGTAAGTTAAAGTATATACCGTATATATATTTTTATTGTATATATTTACTTTATACTGAAATATATAATATACTGTAATATATATATAGACTCTATATCCTTATGATCCTATGATGATATTTATAAAATGTTATTACATTTATACGATGTTTATAAAAACATAATCAAAGTAAATAAAACACAAGAGTGGAAGTCTCAATATTTAGGCGCAAACATTTGAGATATAATATAATATTGATTTTGAAGGATTACTTTTATTACATATAGTTGTATAGTATAGTATACAAACCATTGCATGACTGAATCAGTTATTGTTTTTACAAACAATATTTTCCTCAAATAACAAATTGGTATAATATGTGCCATTATATCAATATACTGTATATACAGTATAGAGAAAAGTATTAAAGTTAATGCCATTAGTTATACTATTAGTATATTGTATATATATATAATATATACCGGTATATATTGTATAATAATAATAATAATAAAAAGTATTATATACTTTATATATTTTTAATTATTTTTATATAGAATTTTTCTAATATTTAAGGTATTATATCATATATAAGTAGTAAAGTATAATCTTTTTTAACAATAAAACATTTATAATCTAATAAAAATTATTTATTATTATTATTATTTAAAAATATTTAGAGACAGCCATGATATTATTTTTCAAACTATTTAAAAAAGATAACTTTGTTTTATTAAATTTTTAAAAAATTAAAATAAATCATTTATACTATCTATTATGTAGTGAATAATGAAAAATAAAAATTAGAAAATAATTTTTATATTATTATTAAACCAATTTCATGGAAATATTATTGTCAATTGGCTTCACAATAAGTAGCTTAGTATATATATATATATATACGATAACATAGTATAGTATTATACAGTATTTATTTATATTGTATAAAATTATATACTGTATAAATATCGTATTAGTGATAAAATTGTTGACTTTCTTATATCTATAAACAGATAGTTTACAGTTTATTTCAATACTGAATATGAATGAATAGGATGAGAGAGAGAGAGAGAGAGAGAGAGAGAGAGAGAGAGAGAGAGAGAGAGAGAGAGAGGAGTTGACATCAATTTCAGTAAAATTTATAGTCCATAGTATACTGTAGAATATAAATAGTAGTTGAGTACTATACCATTGAAATAGTAATATATTGTCAATAATAAAGTCAACACACAGACACACACACAAAATGCATATTTTTATTATGTGTGTGCAATACAAACAAACTGTACCCGTAAAACACAATCAGTGTTTTTGTATTATAAATAATATACATTATATATATACTGTATATATATATAAATGAATACACAGACAGAATATTCTTTGATATTTTTCTTGCCATTTGTTGTTATATAATATATTTGAGGGAACGGTATGACAATAATAGATTTGGTTTTTTGTGGATCGATAATTATGGTATGCTTTTGTATTACGTACAAAACCAAACCATACCTTACCGTATATATATATATATAGAGCAATATACAGACCATACATGCCATACATAAGTTGTTATAGGTTTACTCCCCGCAGGCCTTTATTTTTTATACAGTAAATACATAAAAAAATATAAATGTTTTAATGATAGCATACGACGTGATATATTAACATAGATTATTATATAAATTTTTGTTATTATTTTAGTTTTTTATATTGTTTAGCATTTCTATTATTTATCTATTACTTGTTTGATATATGCATTAATAATAATAATAATAATACAGTGTTTTATTTAAATATTCAAAAAATACAATATATAAATATATGTAAAAACTGGTAAAAAATGTTACCACTTTTTATGTCTTATTATTATTATTATTTTATTATTATTATTATTCAATATTATATGATTTTAATTTTACGAGAAATTTAAATTCTTAGAAAATAATAAGAAATTTTAAATTTAAGAAAACAATGAATATATTAGTGTATATAAAAAAGACAAACAACACAAATATGTAATTAATTTTGTGAAATGTAAAGAATATATATATATATATAAAGAATACCTATAGTATATGTAATTATGAAAAATATATTTATAAATATAATAACAAAAATATAGTATATTTTTTTGTTGAAATATGTTATTTCATTGGTATTGTCGTCGTCTTTATCGGTGTCGTTGTTATTATTTTACTTCGTTTTGAAATAATATTAACATCTGAAGTATGCAATCCTTTACTAATACTACTACCACTACCATCTTTAATACTACCTGAGTCTGGACTACTAATTGAACCGTCACCGGTATTGGGCGAGTTTATGGTGGCCACACGTTTAATATCTATATATACCCGATATTAAAAATGAGGAGATAATTAAAATTATTTTTCGTTGTTGTTGTTGTTATCTTAAAAACATACTTAATGTCGATCCTGATATATCTGCCGGTGATCGCAACGATTTGCCGACACCGCCACCACTTTTACTACTKGTYTTACTTTGTTTGGTAGTCGACTCTGTTAGCAATGATGAATCAATATTATCCATGTCATCTAGAAATTTTATTTTAAAAAAAAAAAAAAAAATAAAATAAATAACAATTATCATTTACATTATTAAATTATCTAAATATAATGAGCTGTTAAATCAATTAGAAATTATTGTTAGTATTATTATTATATAATTTACTCGTTTTTTTGCCGCCCCTATTGATAATCAATATTAGACCACAGATGGATACTATGATTAACGCTATGATAACACCCAAAATTATCATCCATTTTGACCAATTAAATCGGGAACAGTCTATCAATTTTTGGGATCCACTTTCACAAAATTGGCCCTTAAATTTGGTACCCAATCATCATCAACAACAACAACAAAACAAACAAACAAACGAAAATCACATTTATTATAGTAGATAAACAATAATGTGTATCATTAATCATAAATTGTTTTTTATGTTTAATGAGTGACAGACAGAGAGAGAGAGAGAGAGAGAGAGAGAGAGAGAGAGAGAGTAAGATATAATAAATTTTGTTTCTCTCACCATTGAATTGTTGCCATAATTTTTGACCACACAATAGTCGATACCTGTATTATCGACAGTTTGGTAGACAATAATTAGGCACCGGGAGCAAAACAGGGAGTCATGCATGAACAGTGCAATCATCAATTTGTTGGGAACCTGTCTGACAATCTGAGTACTCAACGATATATTTGCGATGATATTATAATTCAATAAAATTGGATTTTGATTTGTTTTCTGTTTTGTTTTTTTGATGCCATTGTTTGACATATGGCTTACATTATATTCTGACACATTTTCATTGTTGTTATTATTATTATTATTATAACTTAGTTTTTCAACAATTTTTCTGTCATCTGATGGTGACATGAAGTTAAAGACATCACGAATTGACATTTTATTAGTAGTTTTCTTTTTAGTCATCAAAGTAGAAGTAGTGGTAGATATCATAGTAGATAGTGTGATGGTTGGAGTAGGAGGTGTAGTCCTATTAATAATATTCATAGGAGGCTCTGTAGTGGTATTAATAGTAGACATTGAAGTCTCAGTGATATTGATAGTAGATATTGGAGTCTCAGTGATATTCTCAGTAGACATTGGAGGCTCAGTAGTATTAATAGTAGACATAGGAGGCGTAGTGGCAATATTAGTTATACATGTGGGAGGCGTAGTGGTGGCAATAGTAGTAGTAGTAGGGGGAGGCGTAGTGGTTGGTATTTTATGTTTAATTTTAATCTTTGCCACCGAAATGTTGGTCGCATTTTTCGACAGCACATAAACATCGTAACCTATTGACGATGTTATCAACAAATTGTCTGAATATTTTGTAAGATTTTCAATCTTAAACAATGTATTATTAATTTCGGTAAACTTCATGTTTCTATTGACAACACCAATCTGACCAAAGCTCCACACGTCGGCCTTTTTTTCCTATTCATAATAATAATAATAATAATAAAAGTCCGATATTTTATATCTAATATAATAATWATTATTATTATTATTTAATGTCTAACCCTAACAATAGCTGTAATGATACCATCGTCTATACTATGTGTGACTATAGTAAAAGCTGACAAAAATTGTTGGCCACCGTTATTGCCTTCATCGACAAACTTGCCGTTACTTTGACTATCAACCGATAATTTCAAGCTATAGTCAGAGGAAAACCATGGATTCAGTCGCCAGTAGTCCTGACCCATGATTAGCATATGATTTATCTCAGATAATAGTAATAATTGATGTCCTATTCCTCCTCCACCACCACTTTGTTCGTAATCATAATAATTAAATCCAAATGTATTCATATTATTGTTTTTATTATTTGCTAATTGTTTGCATAGATCTGTGGCATCGATGACGATGACAATGATATGAGACAACAGTAATAATA